GTGAAATCCCAGGAAGCAAAAAAGTTAGACCCCGGCAGGTCCTTCAGAGCCTTCCGAATGGATTGGAGCGCTAAAAAGTCAAGCGGGTCAAGCATCGCGGATACATGCACCCCCACCCCACACAACACCAGGATGAAGACGCAGAGAAGGGGAAGCCTGACCCTGCGGTGGTTGGCCTTGCCCATTGGAATTGGAGGGAACCAAACCCCAAAAGGCCAAAGGTGAGTCGAGTTCGAGTATGGGTCCAATGAATTTAATTAATTAAGAAGAAATACCAAGTGGGGCTGGATTTATAGAGGACAGGAGTGCCTGCCTTTTGGAAAGGGAGGATTGCTTTTCCGTGAGATGAACAAGCCCGGAAATCACCTGTGAAAGCTTTTAATGGCGGAACTACAGATCAGCAACCAAATTTTGAGAAAAGGATATATTGGAAAGAACAAAAAGGAAAATGGCGTGGTTTGGCTTGAGGAACAAGCGAAGCTGCTGCAGTCTCTTCCCGACGCCAAGCACCGGCACTCTCAGCTCTCACTAATGTTTGTCTTGTCACTGGTTGAAAGGAGCTCTATTATTATTATTGTTGTTGTTATTATTGGGTTGAGGCTTGTTAGGGAAGATGCAGATTGCAGAATACGAGTCATGATTGCAGTGGTGTGCAGTACAACAAACGAAGAGAAGAGAGGGCAGTGTCGGGATTTTACGTTTTCTTCTTATCATTTTTGGAGAATTAGTAATTGTGTTGCATACGCTTTGTTTATTGCGATTTGGTCGGGACTTGCTGAGGTTGCTTGGTAATCGGTTCTACAAGGAGGAATTAGGGAAGTGGTGTATCAAGGGACGGGGATCACGTGGCCATACGCTTTGTTGTTGGGTCCCCTTCCCGTCCATCCCCCTTCTGGTAGGGTAGGGGGACCATCACTCCCAAAGTTACCACCAACTCTACGCTGTAAAATTCCCCAGCCACACAAACCCTGCCCGCTCAAGGATAAATTATTATCGGTGCCTAGGGAAGAGTGGAAAATATAATAAATAGCCGCTCTTCATCTGTAAACATTTAAATTTTATCCCTAATGATTTAGATTCACATATTCTATCATCTGATTAATTTCGATTTTTTAGTACAACTAATTAAGAGTACGAGGGCTTGAACCTCCAACATTAAATGAAATAATAGATGTACTGAACTATGTTTATCTGACTCGTTCTTTGCTTGCTCCTGGATTGTTTTTGTATGAATTTTGTTAAAAAAATGGTATGATATAAAATTATAGTGTCAAACTTTTATTTAATATGTTCTATTTATTATTTCAATTTATAGACTTTTTAGATATATCTACCACATATCTCATACTACATTCAAATTTTTGTAATTTTTAAATCTATATGTCATACAAATTAAAAATTTTGCAACTCATTCTTCTATACAATTCAAACACTTACACTAATTCAAACTTCCTAATATTAAATTATATAAGTACAAATTTATTAAAACTATGAACTAATATCTCATAAATATTTAGGTAAGCACGAAAGGTTTTGGAGTGAGGGCATGCTTAGTTTCAATCCATCATATTGACCATATTACTAATAAAATTTTCTTAAAAAAGAATGAACAAATGATGGTAATAGTATGTAGGTAATATCAGTATTAATTATGATTACATATACAGCATTAATATTGTCTGTGCTATTATGGTGTTGCCTTATGTAAATTACAAGCTTTTAATTTATGAGGAGTTACGATAATAAAATTTTAAATGAATATGTAAAATGAAGCAATAATTATTAGAGGTTAGAATGAGCATAGTTTATAATTGACATACATCTCTAACTAAGAAGTTGTGAGTTCGAACCCCCACCTCACATGTGACCTGGTGGTCAAGGCCAATTAAATAGCAAACGGCTATATTTAAAAAACATAATTGCTATTTTGCTAATTTTTTATGTGATAATAAATAAAAATTCGGAGAGAGAGGAATGGGCGGGTATTATATGCAATGCAGCAAGAGGTGGGGAAGTCAAAGTAATTGGTAAAACAACTACTCTGTCGCTGTGTTGCGCCGAGGGAAACCACTTTTACTTTCTTCAAACATACACTACACTACGCATGTTAGTGGATTTCAAAGTTATGTAGCTTGAGCTCAAAGGAAGAATATTGGGAATTTTAAAGCTTCTCTGACAGGTCAAAAGCATAACCAAATAATGCTAATTTATTAATTGATTCATCCTACAATAACAATATAAACTAATAAACGTTGTTGTATCTCCTACAAAAGATTTCACATCTACGATTCACAAAATTAGATGACTTGGTTTTGACATAGATCTTAAAAGACTCCAAAGTAATATGGAATCGCACTTTCTATCCTATATTGGAGAGAGTATCTAATTCCTTGCATAAAAAAGAAAGAAAAAGTAAAGATGGTTTTGTCCAAAGGCTTAGAAACAGACATGTTGTCAAAAGGAAGAAAAAAAAAGGACAAAAGTAAAACATAGTTGAACAATTATTTTTATTTTTATTATTATTAATTTCTTTTTTTGAGATAGAAAAAATTAGGAGCAAAAGGTGGGAATGCCAAATCCATCGACCAACCCCAACAACCATAAATTAAGTTAGCTGTGGTAGGGATCCATATGAGATTTGGTTCCCATTAAAGAAAGTAAATGAATTTTGATTGTAAAAGTGGTAGATGAAGATGGGCATGAGAATGAGAAACTATTGTCAGTAAATGGGTAATGTCGAGTCATTTTCATACAGCTATGCATTCTTTCACCATATATAATTAATACATTTATTTTTGCATGCATGATTTGATTCCATCGCTCCTACCGCCATGCATTTAATATAAGCAAAACACCAGAAAAAATTTAGTACAATAAAGGTCGGAAGGAAAGGTTTGAACAGTTGAAAGAAAGTAATGAATACCTTATCCAGTAAACCAAATTTGGATTGATTAATTAAATCATACACCACCCAATATTGTCAAATTAATTAATTGCTCCGATATATTTAATTTAGGCGAACATGCATTCTGTCGAGCATTAAATCCTACCAAGGACCACATAAAATAGTTCAGAGGAAAGCCACTGAGGAAGAGATCAAAAGTAGGACGACAAGTTAATGGCAATGTTATATATATGTATACGAAAACCAGAGCAAAGGGAGTGGCGCTTCCTCCAAGTTCCAACCCAACAACTTGTAAATGTCGAGACTCAAGACTCGAGCACTGCATCCTCCAGTTTCACTTTCACATACTTCTTTCCCCTCGTAGTTCCTGGCTAGCTATTCCATCATAGGAACTGTTCCACCAGCTTCAACAATATTACGCTCCAGCTTCGATTACCAATAAAACAACAACATATATAAAGGCTTAAGACGACTGGGAGAGTAGCATGATCTTTTCTTACATCAACCGTGCCAGTTTGAAAAACTCTAAGCTAATCCCTATTTGGTAATTTATTTGTTTATGATCTTCTACCTCTTTTAAAAATTAAGCTTATAACCACTCCTTTCAAAACGTTTTGAAAATATAAGCCGAATTTTAAAAACTTAAAAAAGACTAGTTTTTGTTTTTAAAATTTGGTTAAAATTTCAAACGGTGTTTTTAAGAAAATGAAAACATGCCAAAGAAAAGAAATTGTGCTTACAGTAAACAAATACTCAAGCTTGCTTCTCAGTAGAACACATTCACATCGTACTTGTTGCAGACATCTGAGACACCTGCATCCACATATGCAATGGTAATCTCATTCCGAAATAACAAACCTAAGCTTTATAGGAATAACTAGCCCCCGCCGTCCCAAAATAATGGAACTTGTGTCCTCAACAAAACATAACTTCAGACGAACAAGTATTAGGCTAGCCACACAGAAAATGAAAAGACATTAGTAACACTAGGCAAATATTGCCCAAATTTGAAGTTTGAATAAAATTCTCTAGGACGCCTAAAAAAGGGGAAGCGAGGGAATGAAGGGAACAGCTGCAATAGTATTCTGCCCTGACACTGACAAAGTAATTCAACTTTTAGCACGTGCACGTGCCAAATCTTCCCTTGAAAGATGCACGTATACTCAAAAAGCTTGCACATTGAAAAGAAAGAAAGCAGACACTCACATTTCAAGGTTCTTGGTCTCGCAAAAATCTCTGAAGGCAACACACCAGCTTTTTACTCTGGCTGCACCAATGCTGTCAACAACAAAAAGAATCCACGTTCTAATCAAGCACTCATGACATGGTTAAGCAAAACAAACCATAAGAACATACTGCCGCTTATCTCATGTCAACAACATCATTCTCAAACTACAAAAACACATCAATCCAATTGGCAATCGCAATTATATCCTTCCTCTGGATGGATATGCGGGCTTCACACCCAAGGAGCATAATATATTATCTACATGGGTTACATAACATTGTCTCACAGCTGCACTGCAGACGTTCCAGTATCCCGCCCTCTACCCTGTTCTTTTTTCCAAGGAGCATAATATATTATATTTTCAAAATTCAACTACCTTGCGCTGCTACCCTTGAGTTGATGTACATTGTCATCTACCTGTTTGAAATCCACACTGTTCTGCTCCCTACAACACCAAAAGGCAAAAATCCAATTAATTAGTTCTTCCTACCCTGAAGATGCCAACTTCTCCTGCAATACATAGTATGGAGAACCAAAACACAGAACAAGTAAAGCTTTTCCAAAATTTGCCCAACTACTGGGAATTGGGAAAATATACAAAAGGCGCTTAAGGAAACACAAGCACTCACAGGGCTCTGCCCATTTCATCTATAAGCTTCTGTGAATCATCAAAGAAGAGGTAGACAACCTCAATCACAAAATTTGGACTACTCTCGTCCTGCAGTTGCTTAAGTTGGGAAAACTGATCATCCACGAATCTCTTCTCACCACCAACATAAACATAAAATCAATACATCACCCAATACCAAATAAAATGAGGGAAAAAAAAGTTTGTTTGAAAAGGAAATAAGGAATTAAAGAGCAAATAAGGGCTAAAACCCCTTTTAAACAAATTAGTCCAGAAAATGGATGCAAAACTTCCGTGTTGTAAACAGCAAGTATTACTTTTTTTTTTTATCTTTTCCCCACCAGGAAGACAAAAATATTATACAAGTCCCAAAAGGATTTCTACTTCAAATAGTCTGATTGAGTGAGAAATAGAATAACAAACACAGACCTCGGCACGTAGAGAAGCTGTAAACTCGTTCCACTGCGCCAGCATCTGTTTGACGGCCATGGTGATAGGATTTTGGATCTGTTCCTATGGCTGAAGAACTTGGTTATAAAAATGGCCCGAAAACGAAATGGAAAAGCGCCAACTATAGATAAAGCCAAATGGAGATTACTGGTTTGACTCGAAAATACAAAGATCAGAAATGATCAGAAAGCGTAAACTGAAATAGAAAGGGAATTGACAACGTGCTATTGGAGGGAAGTTAATGCTGTGTCGGTAAATACAGTAAACTGACTTGCCCAATTAGGGCTCCTCGTTTGTTTTTTTATTAAATATTATTTTTTAGCAAGGTATTAGAATTTAGATCTCGGGACTTTTTTATTAGAAGGATATGTGACTTAGTTTTTAAAAAAAATAAAAAAATAAAAAAATAAAAAATAAAAAATAAAAAGATATGTGACTTAGCTGAGCTACAGGCTGGCTATTATTTATTTATTTTTTTAATCATACTGTTGCTAGAATTTAAGCGAGGTTTAAATAATACCTCTAAATTGCCAACATAAGTTTAAGTTTAATTCAAGAGGTATCTTATATTTAATTCCAGAGGTATTTTTTTATTCCCTAAAAATCGAATGGTAAACATAAGTTTAATTCAAGAGGTATCTTATATTTAATTCAAGAGGTATTTTTTTATTCTCTAAAGATGGAAGGTTCATATTTACCATCTCCACGCTTACTGTATTAAAAAAACTCAAAACCATCAGAAGTTTTATTTTTTATTCTTAAAATTTAATTTTGTTTCAAAATACCCTTTCCCTAACTTTTTCGTTCCAATTAAAGTAGACAAGTGACGGTGATTTGTAAAATAGTGATATAAGTGGGATAGGTATAAGTTTTTCTAACTATGCCTCATTTCAAAAACTTTTTCTAACAAAGTAACCTCGTTAACTTTTCCAGTGGCTGGAGGTGCCTATGATTTGTTTAGCATACAATTTTTATCTTGAGCACTGTAGAATTTAGAGTTTTGTCCCTTTCATTGTAAAGGATTGTGATAATCATATGGTTTATGCTGGTCCCAATACTATCCTGATGAAGCAACAGGGTGGGAATTGGAAACTTCCGAGCTAAGAAGCTGCCAAGTCCAAGGGTATTAATGTTAGGGCATTGCAGGTGCATGTCATGCTGCTTTTCATCTCTTCTGGACAAAGAAATATACGTCCCTTGTCAAAAACTTGACTTTGTTGGAAAATGCCTGCTAAGGATAATCAACCGGCAATTGTGGGACTTATGAGATTTGGCCAAATGATGAAATAATTGATTCTCAACCTTTAAAAGATCGATATATCTTGGTTACCCTTGCACAAGCATATCAGGAAAATCTTCTCGTCACGTTCCCGATAAGATCTCCCCGTCTATGGGCTATGGCAATGAGGATATCTCATTGGTATATTTTCAATCAATCTGTAAAGGTAATATGACATTTTTTCTAACATCAGATCGACCAATGAAACACAGTTTGGGTTTGGGAGTAATTTTACTGCATCAATTAATTTCAAATGTAAGATAAGAAGCACTTATATATTGATGCATTAGGTAGGTTACGACGAGTGTGGAAAAAGAGGTGGGTTACATGGAGGTTACTGGATTTAGTGCTGAGATAAGAGAACATATATACAAAATGACAATGATATCAGTGAATCTGTGTTCCACTTCTATGACAGTTACGTTTGCCGCTCTCTATCTAACACGGTTTTTGTTCCTGTGTCACTCTCTTCCATGGGAGGGATGAAATGGTAATGTGGATTTGTTTTAATAATATATGTGATGTATATTAAGTTTGCCAAATTAATTATGCTTGATGCTTCTGCAATTTCTAGTGATGTCTTTTTGTACAAAATATATTTAAGTGACAATCCCTTTCTGGTCTTTGTTTTCTTTTATACTTTGATTAATAAATAAAGCTTAAGGACGAGGCCAGGCCAGCATCCAGTTTCCACATATTAATAATATCAATATGGCTATACCTCACCTCTGCATTTGACTTTGTGTCCTTCACCAACCCAACCACCTATAAATGCTCCATAAGAACGTCTCTCATTCTTGGCTGTTCCGCTCTTATTAACTCCTCACGAAAAGCTTTTCTAAGGAAAGGTATTTGATTTTTTCTGGTCCCTTTTATGCAGCTCAGGTCTCCAGTCAGGATCTGAACCACCTGCATATCACATGTTTGGACGGTAATGTTCTTCAGCTTTTGGTCGAGCAGCTCATGGTCTCTTTATGTCAAACATCAGAATTAAAGCAAGCTTCAAGCGAAACATCTGACATGTTTCAACATCAAACTGTTCTACTCAATAGCAGAAGTTATTAATCACAGCTACTAAATGCAATATCTAAGCTCCAACTTTCAACTTCTAAATTGCTAAACTATTATCATTCACCATCCAACCCAACCCATCTCTATTTCTACAATCGTTAGTTTTAGTAACATAACGTTTTGACAGTTGTCCTTTGGCCGGACGAACACGATTGCTAAGTATGAAGGTTGCAAATTTGAGAAATAAAAACAAGAACATGCCTGATTCATACAAGGTCTCCGAATTGAGGACTGTTGTATGCATAAAGAAGCAGCAAGAAGCACGAGATTGGTCTGCCGTGAATTGTAATTTGTTATGAAAGGATCAACAAGTTCTCTCACGTTGTTCTTCTTCAGCAACGGCTTTGCCTGACGAAGGGTACAAAAATATGAATTAAACAGTAGCCATCCATTGAGATTAGTATGATTGAACCAAACTTTGCAACCTCCTGCATAAAAGCGAGTGTTAAGGGAAGTTTGAAAAAAAGGCTCACCCACAAAACAAGACTTTGCTGAGAGTAATCAAGAGCTCGGCGTCCAGTGACTAGCTCCAATAGTAGCACACCAAATGCAAAAACATCAGTCTTTTCATCTACTATACCATGTGATAAATATTCGGGAGGTAAGTAGCTACAAAAGCACGACGGAGAGGAATCAGAGTTTTGTATATGAACAAGTGGTAAATAAGCTGAGAATGACATTAGATTCACAAACCCGAATGTTCCTTCAAATTTTGATACTATGTGATGAGTCCATTGCTTTGGTAGCCACTTTGCAAGCCCGAAATCACAAATCTGTTCGAAATTTTTTGAATTGTATATTGTAAATAATATTGTGGCTGATACACAACAGAAACGGCAAAAATGAATACTAAATATTGTACTACTTTTGGTTTCTGTATACATGGAGGGAGGAGCACTGAATAATGTACTGAGTCACTGACTAATATCTTCATGAGGGTTCAGAAACATTATAGTAAGAGAAAAGGAAACCAACTACCCAGCTTTTGATTTTAAAGTGCAAGAGGGAGAGTGTTACCTGAGGCTCGAAGTCTTCAGTGAGCAAAATGTTTGCGGCCTTAATATCTCTGTGGATAATTCTTCTTTGACATCCTTCATGGAGATATCTTAAACCCTTTGCGGTTCCAATGGCTATTTTATACCGAATGTTCCATTCCAGCTTCTCCTTTAAACCTATGGGATGCATTTGTTTCTTTAAACTACAGAAGATAGAATCGAATTATAACATCTATAAAGGGTAATGGACTAACCATAGAGCCTAGAAGCTAAACTCCCACGAGGAGACAATTCAAGAACTAAATGCATTCCACCTTCGACTCCATAGCCAATTAACTTGGCAGTATTGGGATGGTTGACATGAGCCATGATTCCAAGTTCAAGCAAGAAATCACCAATATTCTCATCAAATTTTCCTCTTGTCAGTCTTTTGATAGCTACAAGTTGTCCGTTCTTCAAACATCCCTTGTAAACCTCAGCATAACCCCCTTTTCCAATCAGATTTTCTACAAAGTACAACCAAAAAGAAAATGGAACAGACACGTCAGATTGTTCAGAAATTTTTCTTATGTGTTGGGTTGGACATACAAATATGATCTATTGGGTGCACGGACCAGGGCTGAAATAGTTTGTTGCGGCTTGGAGGTCACGCAGAGTGAAATTCTTCCATGGCGAGTTGAAATTGCAGACGTTGGAATCAAACCGAAAGTGAAGATGCAAAGTCTCTCTCATACTGTTACTCAGTCTTTTGGAGAGCTTGAGTACACTAAGAGGATGCAATTTACTTACGGGGTTGCTGGATTTTGACCTCAATAATTTGAAAATTCCACGCCAAAAAGGTGGCGGTTTGGGCTCCCCGGAAGAAGTTGATTCAGATCCTGAGCTCCTAAAGTAGTCTTCAAGAATTCCAGTGGGAGAAGATGAATCTACCTTCTCCTTCATAATGGAAAAAAAATAGACCTAGCGTGCCAGGAACAAGAACAAAAACAGAAACAAAATAGCTTCATGGCGTTGCAGAAAAGAGTGCTCAAATTTCTTTTAGTTGATTTGATAGCAGAAAAGTAAATCAATTTTGATAATTTGCACAACTGTTGTTGTAGAGAGAACTCAAAATCACAATACTGGGAGTTGGAGGCAGTGAGTGAAATAAACGAGGGTAATTAAAGAGAGACCGAGACAACACGCGGGAAGGGGAACCCCATAAGAGAAACACAAAAAACAGAGCTGAAGAAACATAAACATTGATATGTAATGTAATGTAAGTTAAAACATAAAGGGCAGGAACAGAAAGTAGGAACCGAATTGGGAGAGAGCAGTGAGGTGTGACTTGTGAGGAAAAATGGAAGGTACCGTGGCGGTGCAGAAAAAGATGAAGAGTTTCAGAAATTGTCCATCAGCATTCAGCATTCAGCACTCAGAACTCAGAAGAAAAGAAAGATGAAAACAACCGCCTGAACCTCAATCGAAGTTTGACGCGGGAGTAAGGAGGAGAAGCAAATATTAAGCTATGGTTTGGTGTAAAATCTAAGTCGTGAATTCTAAGATTCGTAAGGAGTAATCGTTACAACTTATCATGAAAGATATCCCAACATTTTGTCCTGGATGTGGATGTGGATGTGGATGCGCGTAAAAAACACTCTTTTTGCCCACATTACTTCATATTTTCTTAAATAAACAAAAACTTGCCCAAAGCCATTTCTGAATATAAAAACACAGAAATAAGAAAGCTCCTTTTCTTTTTTCAAGCTATCAAATTTCTAGCCATTGGTCCATAGGAAGATTCTTCTTGACGGGTCAGTCATACAAAAAAATAACCAACATTTTCTTAGATTGGATAATTCAACTTTATTAATGTTAATTATTTATTTTTTCAAAGTGAGTTTTAGTTTGGCACATGTGATTGAGAGATCACGAGTTTAAATCTCTCTATCGCGATTGTTGTACTAAATCTCTCTTAAAATGAGGATGGAGGTTTGGTTTCAATTATGTATATGTCATCTAAAAGTTTCATACGTCATATTTGATAAGGGCATAATAGATTTTTTGTTTTACAACTTACTACCACGTGTAACTTTCATTTTTACAACTCATCACAACTGTCATATTTTTTTCTTAATAGTAATGAAGAAGTTAATAGAAGGGTTGTTTTAAAATAATTTTAAAACGTCAATAGCTAAAATGAAACTTTTAAAATAATAGGATATAATTAAAACATGCTTGAAAGTTTAGAGATATAATTCATATGTTTTAACCTAATTATACCGATAAAAGAAAGAGAACAACGAATAAAATAATAATCAATATTCGTAATGCCTGCATTATTGTTGTTATATTAGACTCAAAGATCGTTCTTTTAGAAGAATGGTTTTAATATGGAAAGCAAAAATGTAGAACCTAGTTTTGAAAGTCCGCATTTGAAGAAATAAACAATTATGCTCCTGATTACACTCAATTTCAAATTAACTAAGGTAATATATATATTTAATACAATAGTATAACTAAGGTAATATATATATTTAATACAATAGTATGTGTAATATATATATATATAACAATATGTGAGGTATTCAAACTCATGACCTCTTAGTCGGACAATTATGTCTTAACCAATTGAGTTAAACTCGATTTAGCAACTAATATAATATTAATAACACACCAACACAAGCATCATAGTAAATGACATTTACTCGATTTTTTTTTAAGATTCAAATTCTTATACCTGCTAAAAAAAGAATCACATTAATGACATGTAATATTAAATATAATATGAGAAAGAATTAATATTTAAAACATCTTATTTTGTTGTTAATATATGAAAATTTTTAATTCAATGGTCGTAGTTTTATAATTATCCATTACATTTTTTTTAAGTACAACACGTGGAGTAGGAGTTCAAACTCATGGCTTTTTTATCGGAGATAACTGTTTTGATTCATTGAGCTGCTCAAGTTGTCCATCACATTTTTACTCAATATCATATGAGTCGACGTTGAATAAAAAATTTGAAAAAATCATACGTCGACCAGATGTATTAAAAATTTTAGCCAAATGGTAAAAATTAAAAAGAAAAAGTTTCAAAAAAACATTTTTTAGCTAGGAAATTGAGCAATATTTTTTTAAAATGTAAACATTTTAGGAAAAATAGTAACAAATTTTAATTTATAAGAAAAAAATGATCATCAGATCAGATCAAGATTTGCTTTTTGGCTTACCAGAGAAGAGAAGAGAAGAGATGATTGTTGTGTTTTATATTGGGAATTATTTGTGTAATGATTTAAAAGCAATCAGAAATGAGAATGAGAGGAATTGGAATTGGAATTGGGGTGGATGAAGTTGTACTCGACCCATAGAGAGAGATGGGCCATCATTAAACGTCCAACTTGTACTCATTGCTGCTGCCTTACGAATACAATAATCATTTATAGTAAAATACATGCTTCTTAATCGCAGTAGCTATATCAAATAAACTTTGATATTATTGATGAATTGCAACCATTTATTTTACTCTCAAAGAGTTTTTTTCTTTTTCCCTTGGTATCTACCTTCCATCACAAGAGAATAAAAGTTAACTACGCTTAAAGAATGCTCTTAAAAGGGTTGAATCTTTATTCTCAAAATTGTAAAGTTATATTGTTAAAACAACAACAATAATAATAAAATAAAAGGGTCCATTTAGGGAAAAAGAAGACAAATTCCTCTCCATATCCATCCATTCAAATTCCAGCAGTTGGACATGGCAGGTTGTTTTCCAAAAATTGAATTCTTGGGCCTTACACAACATTATTGTCATTTTGTGCAGGTAGTCCACCCTCTTCATTTGGATCCATACACTAACTCTCCAATATTGGGTTGTGCTTGGGTAGGCTTATTTGCCATTCCTTGACAGTCTTTGGGTGACCACTAGAGGGATTTGAAGTTGAAATGAGATACAGGAATGTTTTCATTTTTTTTAGTAACAAATTTAAAATTATAAATCTCCAATGCAAATGAAATGGAAGGGTGGATGAAAAAAGGCATAAAAGCAGTGTATTTAAAGCATGGAAAAGCAGAAGAGATATCTCCTCTTGGATCAAGGAAAGCAAAGCGTTACCATGTGTTTGGTGCACTGCAAATATCTACTCTTGGATCCCATCCACCAATCATAGAAACATAAATATAAATAGAAGAGAAAATTTGTGGTCCCATTGTTTTCTTACAAAAATATTGCTCCAAGCCTCCACCTATGCTTTTGGATTTAGGCTTTTGAATAGTTTAGTTAGTAACTCTGTGTATTATTTATTATAATAAATAACAAAATCAGGTGCGCAGAAAAGGGGAGTCGAATATTCCTCAGCTGCTGGCTTTGGTCTTGGCTCATACTCATAGATAGTCATAGTCACGGCTGGCTGCTGTGGTGATGTAACTAATTAAGTAATTGCTTTTACCATTACGTGACGACACCGATCTGATCTTCCAACTCCTGCTGTAACATGTGTTTTCTCATTCTATCAACTCAACGCCCACAAGTCTGAATTATTTAGAAAACTGGGCACAAATGGAGTAGCTTCAGGGCCTCCTTCAGTCGAGGAAAAAAAAGGGGAAATGGCAATCGCTCAGGATGTGGAGGATGGTGGGCGGGAAGCGATACGACAAACATTAGTGCAGGATGAGAATAAGTCAACTCACAGCAGTCCTCCATGGATGGTTTACTTTAGCACGTTTGTGGCAGTCTGTGGCTCCTACGAATTTGGAACTTGTGTAAGTGTATACATACATACTCGCATCTCCCAATCCCAAGTGTTGTGCTTTTTCGCATCAATTTATGTGGCTTTGTTTTCAGGCAGGTTACTCCTCGCCCACTCAGACTGCTATTGTAAACGATCTTAATCTCTCTTTAGCCCAGGTATGATTCAAATCTGCTGTTGGGTTATTCAAGTGCATTGGATGTTATGGCTTGTAAATTGGTTTCTTTATGCAGTTTTCACTAATTGGCTCCATACTCACATTTGGTGCAATGATTGGTGCAATTACAAGTGGACCTATTGCTGACCTACTCGGCCGGAAAGGGGTGACCAAACCAACACTATAATCTGTCCATTGGAAGTGAAAATTTAGTTCAACGAGCCACGTTGTAGAAATCATCTGCTCTAATTTTTTGTTTTAAAAAATTTGGCAGGCAATGAGAGTCGCTACTGGTGCCTGCGCGGTTGGGTGGTTAACAATATACTTTGCTCAGGTTGGTGTTTCCTCTGATTTTTTCTCTTTCCTTAAAGTGCAAGTACAATGACCATTTGTAAGTTGGATTACTACATAAGGGAGCAGTGGCTTTGGACATTGGACGATTGGCTACTGGATATGGAATGGGATTCTTTTCTTATGTGGTGCATTTTTCAATCCCTTTCAATTACTTCTTATTTGCTCTCCTCTGCTTCCTGTAAAACAACCTATCCATAATATATATTTAGGTACTCATTTTTCTGACTCTTCTAGGTTCCTGTTTTCATTGCCGAGATTGCACCTAAGAACCTTAGAGGTGCTCTAACTACACTCAATCAGGTAAAAGG